GGAATCACTTCTAAGCTAAAACTCATGGCAAGGAATTTTTAAGTTAAGTTAGGAGCTCTCTGAGAGGATTCTCAGAATCTTTAGGGATACGGGCCCCGATGCTAGAGTCTTAATAAGTATGCAATATAAGGGGAATACAGCGCTTTTGGTCCCCATTTTCTATTAATGCAACCAGTAGGGAAATAATCTAAAATGCTTAATATATAAGCACAAAACATAAAAGAATTAAAATAGACTTATCTCCAACAGGTGAGCCGATCCTCCCTCACCTCTATGGGGGGAATCTCACCCTCACAGAATTCAGTTTTTTATGACATTTTTTGTTTTATTTGTGTGTTAGTAAACACCAGAGTCCATGCAGCTGTTAGTAAACACAGCACTCACACTACATTAGTTTTAGTTGAACTCTTTATTCACACCTCAATGTTAGTACTTTCTTAAGTGAGGGAAGATCAGCCCACCCGTCAGTGTCAGAATTTAGCCTCCAATGCTGGCTACATTTATTCTATAAAAAACCCTATAAAAACCAATAAAATTGGAAAAAATTGTTAATAAATAATAAAAACAGAGCTATCTCATCCCTCTTTACACCGAATTGCATTAAAAGACTTAAAACATATTCCCCCACAAAAAAATCACTCCTCCAATGTCTGCCAGGCCGTCCTGTGTAGATCTAGAAGACCTGCTCCGATGAAGCTGTCAATATGGATGCTATATTCATTACCGGACGATTTTCAGTTAGATTTATTCGTCCTAAGTTGTCCTAAAGGCCAACTAGCCAATTACATCCCTTAATACAATCTAGCCCTCTGCTCAATATGGCAGCATCCTCCTTTGATAATACACCCACACGATTCCATGACTAATTCTTAAAGTGGCAGCGATTACTTTTCAAGTTATTCCTTTTTATTCGGTCGACTACTGGCTATTACCCCCTAACCCTAACCCCACCCCTAACCCTAGTCCTGACTTTCGGACTCTGTTTGTGTTCACCAGGGACACATAAGCCCTCACGCCACGTCAAGGCAGAGTCCATGTGAGGGTGGGGTTTTTTTTGTTGTTTTTTATTTATTTATTTTTTTAACATTTATCTTTTTTTTCGTTTCCACTCACAAATGTTTACAAAAGTAACATATATTATTTTCATCACAATGATTTTGTAACAGAACATGATGTCAAAAACAGAATTCTCAGATATGTTTACAAAGCTAACATTTATTGTTTGATTACAAGAATGAAGTTTTCAAAGCGCACAATGTAAAATGAACAATTTTGGAAACATGTTTACTAACGTAACATGGCATCACACTTGTGTAACATGGGAAAAAATAAAAACTTAGTAAAAAAAAACCCTAAGTTTTTCATCACATCATAACTTGAAAAAGCACTTGATTGGTGAAATCTGTAACACCGATTCTTTATTTGTCCAACATTGACACCAAGTACCGTCTTTTGTGGACAAATGCCTGGTAAGACCGGGCAGACAAGCCCGCAGCATTTCATTCCCGCACATACTGTGCATATGCATTCTTTACCCTGACTGAAGGGTCCGTGTTCACAAAGCTGATCTCAATTACTGACCAACGCCTGCTGACATTGGCAGGGATGAACACTGCGCTTGTCCTAACAACTTCAGGTTCTTCATCCTCCAGCAGGACGGGAAGTTCCACGGGATCAAGCTCCAGTTGGAGGGTTGGAGCCTTCTTCTTTGGATTCACTGGTTGGATCACCATACGATATGGGATATCATAGTACAGTTTGTACAGAGTGAATCCAAATGTTCGCTGACATGGAGATGTAGACATGATTTTACATTTCTGAAGGTCCGCTTGGCTGACCTTGAGCTCCAGTAGCAGATCCTTGATTTTCTCAAAGGAAACGAAATCCCGGTTCATCAGGAGGCCAACTGAACTGACCAGGATGAGAATCTTCTTACGAGTTTCAGGATCGGTCTGTTGTGGAAGCCTTTTCATGACATCGACCAACCATGGCATGCCATGTTCTTTGTATCGCTCAAGATTGCAGGCATAGCAGAGCAAACGTCGCTCCATTTCCATTGCGATATCTCTGACCATGGCTGATGAACGTGCCTCCACCGAAGGCTGTTGGTCATCGTTGTGGACTTAACGAAGTCAACGAAGTTCCAGGTTGCCTTACGCGTTCCTCTGAGATCCCTAAACTTCAAGTCGGGGAACCACTTCAACTTCATTTCAAGAAAGCCAGCCTTCAGGCATTCTTGAACATCTTTTCCACACCCTTCAATGAGCACCCTGGCCCTGGAGAAGGTGAAAGGTGTTGGAAAAGAGTCCCTTATAGCGAGGTTCTCAACCAACGCGGAGAGGTTGACGTGTCCCTTCAAATTCTCAGGGCACTTAGCTCCCTGGAGCGCAGCGACGGGGATCTCTTCATTTCGACGAAAAATATCTTGAAACAGGAGGACAAGTGAGGGTTTTGTGTAAGAGCAGGCCACCAGCAAGCTGGTAGCAATGCAATTCTGGGAGTTCATAGCATTCAGGGCTACATACTAAATTTAACCTTGACCATTAGTCTTTAATTTTTTTTTTTATTTTTTTTTTGTGACAATTTATGCAGTGAAGAAATTGAGAACTGTTCTCCAACACAAGGGCATTTACACAACGTCTTCCATCATTTCTATGTTCTAATAGAAAATAGCAGGTCGTCAGTCCATTTGCTTTATTAGAGCTCTCTTTTATTTCATACTTTCCATGTTAACCATACTTCTATGGATGTAATTTAACACTTTATTCAGTCCTCCTTCTAGAGAAGATGGAGATCACAGTGTCTGGGCCAGTCCTCCGACCTCAGCTCCTGGAAATTCACAACCGGACATCCACAGCCTTTTTGCCCACCCTCCCTCACCCATTGGGGTCCTGACAGATTCATTTTAACCATATACTCTTTATACTCAATATTAACAACACCTCTGGAGTACAAGAAATTGTTAAAACCTACCACCCAAACCATAAATCTAGGATAAAGACACAAGAGAAACACAGTTTTCAAACACATCTCATGTCGGTGCATTCAAACCTAGTGGCACATAAGTATTTAATCTGTGTATCCAGATCTTCTCCATCCTCCTCCGCTGACCGACTGACCAGCCCGGATTCGCCTGCAGGCCCATAATACTCAGAGCCCCCTCTGCATGCTCCCTAAAGTGGATAGCCACCACTGAGCGTGGCTCCACTGACCGTACGGCATACAGATGTTGCTGTAAATGTGCTCTCAGACGGGCCCCAGTTTCCCCCACATAAATTAACCCACAACATATACACTGAATGGCATAAACCACATTCTTTATCTCTAAGGAGAATCTTCCTCGAACTGCCCAAGAGACCCCACTATGTGGATTGTTAATCATGTGTCTGTGTACCAAAAAGTGACATTGACCCGCCCCCCCCAAGGATCATCCCCTGTACACGCGTTCGGAGTGCGAAGATTGGAAAGCGTCTCCTCAAGAAAGAGCATGAGTAGCCCCTCTTCCTCAAACTCCTGAACAATATATGGGTTGCATTGTGAAAATCTTCTTTCTTACTGCATATTCTATGGAATCTTAATATTTGAGATTTAACTATGCCTCGAAACGTGTGTGGCGGATGATAACTTGATTTGTGGAGGAGCGCATGGGTATCGGTGGGCTTGAAAT